TAAGTAATAAGTAAGACGAACTAGTAGTATGTACTTATAAGTTAACGTTAACTAGTACACTAAACTTACGTGTACGTTAGTTAGGTGGTCGTTCTATATATATATATATATATATATATATATATATATATATATATAGTTATTTATTCGAAAAATGCCTTATTAAGTAAAAAAATGCCTTAACTGCATCTTTTTGAAAAGGGTGTGGTTTTCATAAGGTTGCAACCTTAAACAATCAAATTAAGGTATACCTCCAAACCATCATGAGATACAACTTTGGTATCGAAAATTCTTAGGATTGTGTAAGAATCTAATTTTTTATATCTAATTATAAAATTTTAAACTTCAAAAATACTTCAAATTAAGCACATCTTTAAACATATAATTTTTTTTGAAAATAGACAGTCCAAAAAATATGTTATAAGATGTAATACTTTAAGATGTGAAAGGAATAAAATAATTGTGACATCAATATATAAAAGATAAATAGTCTCTTTACAGTCAATTTGTACCTGAACGTATGCAAAAAAAAAAAAGATGGAAGTGTTAGTTGCCAATCCAAGCATTAAAATTTGTGCAAAGCATTGAGTGGACCATTACCCTGCCCCTGCCCTTTCTACATTCTCCCTCTCCTCCAATATCTGTATTGGAGAAGCCCTGGTCATCCTCTCTTTTTCTCTCTCCACTCACTCTCTCTACGGCAGAACCCCAGCCCTTCCTCTTTTCTTCTCTCTTAGGGCATTGGCTCTCACGACACTGTTTTTCATCCATTATCTCTCTGTTTCAGAATCCCCCTCCTCACTTTTTCCTCTCATTATCTCTATCTATACTTTTCTCCTCCATTCTTTGTCTGTTGCAAAGCTCTTTGCTTGAATCTTCTGCCATAAAATTTTTACAGTAAATTTGTGCCATAAGTTTCGATTATAAACTTTTGCAACTGGTTTGGTAAACCTGAATTTGTATTCATGATCCCCTGTCTTCTACATTGTATTCATTTCTAAGTTGCAGTTCCACTAATTTATCCTTCCTAAAGCCCAGAATTTTCAGAGAAGATGATAGATCACTCTCACTGATTTACATTTGGGTTGGTGCAATTGGAGGACCATTTTTTACCAAATGGGTATTACTTTTGAGGGGATGCTAAATGGAGATGGAGGGACTAAGATTGCAGCACCTATGTTTTCTCCCTTTTAAAGTTTATGTGAAAGGGTTCACTTTCAACAGGGGTATCATCAAGACTTTTATTCCCATATATTAATTAAGGAAACATATAATATGACACCTTTATCTTTGGTATAAGATGTTCACAATTAATTTTGACCATTGGACGAGAAATTGGATAGGTTTATTTATTTCATTGACCAAGCTCAACCTTCAAAAGAAATTTTTTCGAATTTTGTAACACATCAAAGCTATCAGATTTCATATCGGATGGTTGCAAGTAATTATGATATCTTTATATCAAAGGTAAATGGTCTCATTGTATACAAGCCCATTAATTAAATGGAAAGAGCATATATGGGAGGACCTTAAAAACCCATGGAATAAGTTGTTCCAAAATCCTCGAATTGATCATGTTGATGTATTGATATGAAAAGAAATGCCTTCAAGTCCTAAATATGGTGCAGGCAGTTTATTTTCAAGATTTTGTAAGTATTTATAGATATGTTTGATTTGCAATATATTTAGAGCTTTAAATTTCATAATAAGTGGGTGGAAATAGATTCTTAGATCATCATAAAGGTTTTTCACATAGTTGTTGTCAAGATTCTGCCGTTCAAGTCCCAAAAAAAAAAAAGGTTTTGCAGTCGAACTGATTAAACCGGAAATTCAAAAAATAAATTAAAGATAGGAATGGTAGTATAAAAACACAAAATATATTTTTAAAAAATATTTAATCTTGTTTAATCAGTTTGACCGATCAAAATTGTCAAGAAAAAGGGAAAAATTGGTAGAGAGATTTAAGAGGAAGTTGTACTCAAACAAGTAGTATACACTCAATTAGTAAAAAATGACAACAATACTCAAGGTTTTCTAACTTCTCTCACTTTTTTCTAACAGCTCAAAAGTTTTTCCGCACACACTCTTGGTTCCATTAATGCATATTTATAGGCATATTTCTCACCAACCACAAATTTTTTTTAAATTTCCATATCAATTTGGACAAAAAAAACTATTCAATTACTGCACTTACCTTATCTCTAAATTTTTCAACAAAAATAACTTACTAACCTTACAGTTTAATTGAATATGCTAAATTACTATCAGAAAATATATTGCAAATCAAACATATCTATAAATATATTGCTAAATTACTATCAGAAAATATTTGCAATAACTTACTAACATTTTCAGATCTTTAATTGAATATGCTAAATTACTATCAGAAAATTCAACAAGATTAATATCATTTTCAGAAATATATTTGATACCGTGTTTCCTTGTGTCTTAGATTCATCTCAAAATCCTTTTTGCTACTGCAAAATACAGTTTACTTGCTTCATTGATGAACCTAGAACAAATACTGATTGCATGCACAATATCTGACCTTGTGTTAGTCAGATAAATAAGAAAACCAACCAAACTTCGACATATTGTTACATCAATTTTTTCTGCACTATCATATTTTAACAACTTTTCATTTATTGTTATTGGAATACTCACTGGCTTAAATTTGATATTTAAATTTTTTTTCAGAGATCTTCGACATATTTTTCTTAAGAGATAAAAATTTATCTATTTGACTGTTAACTTGGATTTTAAAAAAATATTTCATGATCCCTGAGTAAGCCATTTCGTGTGTTTTCATCATTGCTTTATTGAATTCTTTCAACATTTTTGAGTTTGTGTTAGTATAAATCAAATCACATAAAGGCATATAATTAGGAGATAATTTTCACTTTCTTTTTTTTACATACAGAGAAGGTTCATTCGGGCTACTTTCAAATCCAATTTGACGAAAATATTTATCAATTTTACTATTCCAAGCTCTCATTGTGGATGCTTAAAAGGTACACAGCACCTTTTAACAGTTCGGATTGAACCATTCTCATTTAAGGGCTGAAAAAATAACTTTATTTTTTATTTTTATTTTTATTTATAAATAATATTAATATGATGTTTTAGCTTAATATTTCTAATAAAAATATTGATCAAAATACATTTAAAAGTATTGTAATAATTTATTATTTAAAATATTTTTAATTTTTTTTATTCAATTCTCTTTATAAAAATAAACCTACCTTAAAAAATTCTGATAAATATTTTACTCAAATAAAAAATATAAATATAAATTTTTGGCCTTGAATTTAGCCACATGAAAATTCAACCGTTACTTTTATCCAAGAAAACCAACCCTCCCATGTTGAGGCGAAACAGGTAGAGGGGAATCAAAAAAGAAAAGATCAGACCGGGCTGCTCGTTGATCCATTCTCATATTAAAAAATGGCAAAAAAAAAGTGTTCAATCATTGGGTTTTCTGACAACAGCCGCGCCGTGTAACAGGATTTCTCTTCTCTCTCTGTTGTTTATGAGTGCTTTTCTCTCTGTTGTTTATGAGTGCTTTTCTCTCTGTTGTTTATGAATCTTTCTCAAGGTAATTGAAGTATCTTTCTTTTTCTTCAAGTCTCTAAAAGCTATTAAAGTCTCATCACTAGGCTGTATCTCTTCTTATCTGTAAAGCTCCACAATAAGGTATTCTTCTGATCTTTAATTTGCTTTTCGCTAGTTTCTGAAACCTGTTCTTGTTTCATCTTGAAGAAACACCTTGAGCTTGAATTGCAGTACAGAAAACTGATTTCTTTGAAGACAGCTTTGAAATTGAAATGGGTTTTATAGAATTTGAAGTGTATCTCGAAATTGAGTTCTTTCTGAAATCTTTTTACATTTGCTTATAGTTTTGTAGCACTGGGTCCATCTTCATAGGGATTTCTAGCCACTAGTCTGAAACAGTGAAACCCCAGTTTTGGTACCGATTAAAGTGGACGCCTGAAATTAAACAGGATTTTGAGCAGACAAGGCCGTTAATTTCCTTGGTGTATTGCTGTATATTGCAGGTATAATCAAGGTTGAGAAGGGTCTTTCAACTTTCTAGGGAGGGGCTTTCGATTTTCTAGAAAATGGGGAGTGTAAAAGGAGAGAAATTCAGGTTTTGTATTGATAGAGGGGGCACATTCACGGACATATATGCAGAGGTTCCTGGTGAACCAGCATGTCGGGTCATGAAGCTTTTATCGATTGATCCGTCAAATTATGAGGATGCCCCTATTGAAGGAATCAGAAGAATTTTAGAAGAGTGCACTGGCAAAAAGATCCCCCGTTCTTCAAAGATCCCTACTGATAAGATAGAGTCGATTCGAATGGGCACCACTGTTGCAACGAATGCACTTCTTGAAAGAAAGGGTGAGAGAATTGCTGTGTGTGTTACTAAGGGGTTCAAGGATTTGCTAAAAATTGGTAATCAAGCTCGACCCAACCTATTCGATCTAACAGTTTCGATGCCTTCCACTCTTTATGAGGAAGTAATAGAGGCTGATGAAAGGATTGAGCTTGTGCTTGATGGAGAAGAAGAAGCCAATAGCCAGGGCTTTGTTAAAGGGATATCATGTGAGATAATTCGAATCTCAAAGCCCTTAGATGAAGAAGCCCTCAGGCCACTGTTAAAAGGCCTTCTTGCCAAAGGCATTTGCTGCTTGGCTGTTGTTCTAATGCATTCTTACACATATCCACAACACGAATTAGCAGTGGAGCACCTTGCTCGAAGTATGGGTTTCAAGCACGTGTCCCTATCTTCTAAATTGACACCAATGGTTCGAGCAGTGCCTCGAGGGCTCACAGCAACTGTCGATGCATATCTCACCCCTGTTATAAAAGAATATCTCTCGGGTTTCATGTCAATGTTTGAGAAGGGATCGGAGGGAGTGAATGTGTTGTTTATGCAATCGGATGGTGGTCTTGCACAAGAGAGTCGATTCTCTGGCCACAAGGCTGTGCTATCTGGTCCAGCTGGTGGGGTTGTGGGCTACTCACAGACCCTTTTCAGGCTCGAAACTGAAAAAGGCATAATTGGTTTTGATATGGGAGGGACTTCTACTGATGTGAGCCGATACGCTGGAAGTTATGAGCAAGTTCTCGAGACCCAAATTGCTGGGTCAATCATCCAAGCCCCTCAACTTGACATAAACACTGTAGCAGCTGGTGGTGGTTCAAAACTCAAGTTTCAATTAGGGACTTTTCGGGTTGGGCCTGAATCAGTGGGTGCACACCCTGGTCCAGTTTGTTACCGAAAAGGTGGTGAATTGGCTGTAACTGATGCTAATCTCATACTTGGCACTGTGATTCCTGACTATTTCCCTTCCATATTTGGACCCAATGAGGATCAGCCATTAGATGTCGAGGCCACAAGAGAAGAATTCAGGAAGCTTTCGGTTGTGATCAATAGTTATAGAAAGAGTCAGGATCCTCTGGCAAAGGACATGGGTATTGAGGAGACTGCCCTAGGGTTCATCAATGTGGCTAATGAAACCATGTGTCGGCCTATTCGTCAGCTCACTGAAATGAAGGGCCATGAGACAAGGAACCATGCACTTGGTTGCTTTGGAGGAGCAGGGCCACAACATGCTTGTGCCATAGCTCGGTCCTTGGGCATGACTGAGGTCCTTATTCATAGATATTGTGGGATCTTAAGTGCGTATGGCATGGGATTAGCAGATGTTATCGAAGAGGCGCAGGAGCCTTACTCTGCAGTTTATGGGCCAGACTCTGCTTCAGAGGCCTCGCGTCGAGAGACCATCTTGACCGAGCAGGTGAGGCTTAAGCTTACGGACCAAGGAATTGAAGATGGAAGCATCACTACCGAGTCATACTTGAACTTGAGATATGAGGGAACTGACACTGCTATAATGGTCAAGAAACCAGAGAAAGGAGGGGGAAGTTATGCCGAGGAGTTTGTGAGGCTTTTTCAGCAAGAGTATGGATTCAAGCTCCAAAATAGGCAGATCCTTGTATGTGATGTAAGGGTCCGAGGAGTTGGGTGTACCAACATTTTGAAGCCCCAAATAGTTAACAGGGTTTTTGAAGCTCCCAAATCTGAGAGGTGTTATAATGTATACTTTAGAGGTGGATGGAAGGAGACCCCGTTGTTCAAGCTCGAGAATTTGGGCTATGGGCATGTTATAGATGGCCCTACTATCATCATGAATGGAAACAGCACTGTCATAGTGGAACCGGGATGCAAAGCAAATATTACCAAGTATGGGAACATAAGAATTGAGATAACCTCAGCCCCAAACACTATAACCCTATCAGAGAAAGAGGCTGACGTGGTGGAATTATCTATCTTTAACCATAGGTTCATGGGTATAGCTGAACAAATGGGCCGGACACTCCAAAGAACGTCCATATCCACAAACATAAAGGAGAGGCTTGATTTCTCGTGCGCTTTGTTTTGTCCGAATGGTGGCTTAGTGGCCAATGCCCCCCATGTCCCAGCTCAGTTAGGAGCCATGTCTAGTGCCGTGTCTTGGCAGCTCAAGTATTGGGGTGGTAACCTAAAAGAAGGCGATGTACTAGTCACAAACCATCCATCAGCTGGAGGAAACCATCTCCCTGATATAACAGTAATCACCCCAGTTTTTGACAAGGGAAAATTGGTGTTTTTTGTTGCAAATCGAGGTCACCATGCTGAAATTGGGGGCATTACACCCGGTAGCATGCCTTCTTTCTCAAAGGCAATTTGGGAAGAAGGGGCTACCATTAAAGCATTCAAGCTCGTAGAGAAAGGGATTTTCCAAGAAGAAGGAATAATAAAATTGCTAGAATCTCCATTTATAGGAGGTAACAAAAATATTCCTGGGACACGAAGGCTCCAAGACAACCTCTCTGACCTTAGCGCCCAAGTAGCTGCAAACCAAAGGGGGATAGGGCTCATCAAAGAACTCATCGAGCAATACGGCCTGGCGCATGTTCAAGCCTATATGGACCATGTTCAAACCAATGCTGAATTGGCGGTTAGGGAGTTGCTACGGTCAGTAGCTGCTAAAGTTTCCAAGCTGCCCAACAGTGAAAAACGTGGTGATTCAGTTATTTTAGAGGAAGAGGACTACATGGATGATGGATCCATAATCCATCTCAAACTAACAATTGATGGCATCAAGGGCGAAGCTATCTTTGATTTCGAAGGAACAAGCCCCGAAGTCCATGGCAATTGGAATGCCCCTGAAGCTGTAACTACAGCGGCGGTTATATATTCTCTTCGATGCCTAGTAGGCGTTGATATTCCTCTTAACCAGGGGTGCTTAGCCCCAGTTATTATCAAAATCCCCCCTGGTTCGTTTCTCTCTCCCAGTGATAAAGCAGCTGTGGTAGGAGGCAATGTGCTCACTTCTCAAAGAATTGCAGATGTTATACTCACTGCCTTTCAGGCTTGCGCATGTTCTCAAGGGTGTATGAATAATCTGACTTTTGGGGATAACACATTTAGTTACTATGAAACAATTGGAGGGGGTTGTGGAGCTGGACCCAGTTGGAATGGGACCAGTGGGGTGCAATGCCATATGACCAATACAAGGATTACAGATCCTGAGATACTAGAGCAAAGATACCCTGTGCTGTTGCATAGGTTTGGGTTGAGAGAGAAGAGTGGGGGTGCTGGTAAGTTTAAGGGGGGAGAGGGGTTGGTAAGAGAAATAGAGTTCAGGCGCCCTGTGGTGGTTAGCATGCTTTCGGAGAGGAGGGTGCATGCGCCTAGAGGGTTGAAGGGAGGGAAAAATGGGGCCCGGGGGGCTAATTTCTTGATTAGGAGAAATAAAACAAGGGTTTATCTTGGGGGAAAGAGGACTATTGAGGTCAGGCCAGGAGAGGTCCTTCAGATATTGACACCGGGGGGTGGTGGATGGGGTTGCCCTGAGTGATCTCCTGCCGGTCCTCCCCCCTCATCAGTCAGTCAGAAAGAAAGAAAAAATAAAAAAAACCTACTCTCTCTCTCTCTCTCCCTGTTTTGGTGAGATTTAAAATTGTACGTGACATGTTAACGCATGTCGGTGGGAATGGAATGGAATGGAGGGTGGGACGTTACGTTGATGAAGCATCCGCTCCCTCCCTATCCATGAAATACCCTAACCCCATTCCCAAAGTGAGATTAAGTTATAATTAGGGTGCTAGAGTGGAGTGCTACGCATTGAGGGAAGTAAGAGAAATATTGGAGAAATGAGAGAGGAGTGGAATGTAACGAGAGATTGAGTGTGTAATTGAGTGAACTAGAGAGAGAGTGTAGTGCATGAGTGACTGTTTGTAATGATGAGTGAGAAAAAAGTGTGATTAATGAGGGTAACGAGTGATGTATTTACTGAGTATTATGAGTGCGTAATAATTCTACTATAATAAAAATAGGAGATACTACAAAACACTTATAGCTGAATAGTAATTTTGCCTATTATCATAGATTCGAAGTTTATATGATTGTTCGATAATGTTTTATTTTTTATTTATTTTTATACAAATTGGAATGATCTGAAATTTGGAGCGTGTGTTTATAAAAAATAGACGAATCTATAAAAAATATAAAAAAAATATTTTATATAAAAATACCAAAATATGTCCGAAAGTTTTAGAGGTATTTTGGTCAATTTGTTTTCACGAATTATTTCTTTTAATATTTTGATTAAGTGCACTTCATTAAGATGTACACACGCTCCAAATTTTAGGTCATTTTGATTTATAAAGAAAAAAAATGAAAAATAAAATACTACCGGACAATCGTGACCGTACGATGAACTTTGGACGGTATTGACGGTAGGCGAAATTACAGTTCATTTTCGTCAATAGACGTTGGGAAGACTTTTCCATAAAAATAATATCTATATAAATATCACATTATTTATATAACATTTCGATGAGACCTATAACAACTGGTGCATTTTACTAGTATCTTATAGGTGGTTTTTTTTAGAAAAATATATGATGTAATTATAGATAATTATCTAGAATTCCCTTTTTACGAATTCCCATGTATATTTAATAAGTTTTGAATATAAGATTGAGATCGTAAAATGTAGAATTAAATATGCACCTCAAAAATCTATTGAAAAAATGTTGTTTTAATGTTGAAAAACTACCCTCTAATTGATCATCTCGACCTTGAGATGTATGAATATAAAAATAAATAAATATTTTGAATCTCATAAATAGTGAATCTTGCAATACATTATCTAGGCCGTCCATTTTCAGGATTTTTATATGTTTATAGATCTGTTTGATTTTAACTATTTTTGCAGTTTAAAAGTTTATAATTAGATATGAAAATAGATTTTGAGATATTCTTAAGAATTTTTTACACCAAAATTACAAGTTATGATAAAATTTGGTACCACGCCTTAATTCGATGGTTTAAGGTTGCAACCTTACAGAAACCACACCCATAGATAATTATCTAGAATTCCCTTTTTACGAATTCCCATGTATATTTAATTAGTTTTCTATTTACAGGAAAAAAAATATATAACATTGCAACATTATATCATTGAAGTAAGGTGCACATAAAAAATCCTCTAGAAAAGAGTGTCTGACACTGGAGAACCCTCCAATTGATATCTCGAGAGGTATAGATATGAAGAAAAGAAGAAGTTAAAATTTGTGATAGTTTCTCGCTCTAAAATTTTAACAATTTGGTACTCTCTCTCTAAAATTTTAACATATTTTCTCTCTCTAAAAGTTTAACATTTGAGATAGTTTTTTTCTCTAAAAATTTTTACATAATTTCTCTCTTTAAAAAATTAGGTATTTTCTCTCTCTAAAATTTCATACCTAAATGAAATCATGAAAAAGTAGATCTTATTTCTATAATTTTGATTTTCCTTTTTTTAAGTATCCTAGTCATTAAACAATCCAAACAGTGCATTTTGACAATATCCAACACGTACCCAAACAGGCCCTAAATGTTAACTTTCAGGAGCCTTGAGACAAAGTCTACCAAAGTTTAGAGAGACACTACATAATATTTTAAAGAGAGAAACTATTTCAAAATTTTAGAGAGAGAAACTATCTCAAACTTGAAGTTTTAGATAGAGAAGGCATCTTAAAATTTAAGAGAGTAACTATATCAAATTTTAGAGCGAGAAAGTACATAAATTTTTTTTTAAAAAGAAACTATCACAAAATTTTTAGACAGATATTATCTCAAATTTTAGCTTTTAGAAAGAGAAAGTATCTTAACATTTGAAAGAAAAACTATATCATATTTTAGGGAGAGAAACTACTTAAAAATGTTTAGAGAGAGAAACTATTTCAAAATTATTGAGGAAAACTATCTCAAGTTTTAAGTTTTAGAGAGAGAGTATCTTAAAATTTTAAAAGAAAAACCATATTAACTTTTAGAGAGAGTAAATCACCTAACAATTTTAGGGAGAGAAATTATCTCAAAAATTTTAGATAGACAATTTCAATTTTTAAATTTTGGATAAAAAAGTATATTAAATTTTAGAGAGACAAACCATATCAAAGTTTAGAGAGAGAAATACTCAAAATTTTTATAGATATACCATCCCAATTTTTGAGTTTTAGAGAGAGAAAATATATAAAAATTTTAGAGAGAGAAATTATAGCAAGTTTTGTTACCAAACAATTGACATAAAAGTTATTGTAAGAAATCCATGAATTTTGTATAGTTTATCCAAACAAGAGATTTTAAGAATCCACGACAAAAAAATCATTTATATTGAAAATCCATAAATTTTCTTGGATTTTAAATATCTTCCACTTCCTTGTTTTGTAGGTAGTATATTTGTGACAGTAGTAATAAAGAATAAGACGAGATGGCCGAGTTGGTCTAAGGCGCCAGATTAAGGTTCTGGTCCGAAAGGGCGTGGGTTCAAATCCCACTCTCGTCATAATCCATTTTGGCAGCGTGCGATGAGTGAGTTTAAAATACCGCGTGATGAAATCACCGTCATTATCCATTTTCCCGGGCACCGGGATGGCCGCGTTAAAATATTTTCCTAAAGGAAAATAGCTTTCCCATCCTCTCGTCATCATCCATTTTTGCAGTCGATAATCATCATCCATTTTTGCAGTCCATAAAAGAAACCGATGGGATGGCCGCGTTAAATATTTTACTGAAAGAAAATAGTTTCATACAAGAATTGTTATTTCTAGTTTTTAAGTTTTATTTATTTTTTCATATTCACGATCTCCATGCTTTTTTCATATTCATGATCTCTATGTTAGAGATTACATGTTTTTAAAAATTAAGTTTTAAAGTCCATCTAAAAAATAGATATATTGAGAGGCCCGTATTTCTATGTATGCCGCATAGAAACATGGTCCTTTACTAAATTATGTCGGTAAGAAAAAAAAAAATGGTGCAGTTTATATAGAGCCCTATGATTCCAAACAATCAAAGTAAAGCCCACCTTCAAATAGTATCCAGAAATATGGTTTTAATGTTGAAAAAGTTTACGATAGCTTTAAAATATATTTTCATCTTTAATTATAAAATTGAAAGCTTTAAAAATAGTGTATATCGAACGAATCTATAAAAACTTGAAAATCTTGAAAGTTGACCATTCAAAAATGCGTACAAAGATGGACTATTTTTAAAACTTGAAATCTATTTTTTTCTCATGTCCATTCATCCTGATGACGAGATAATCAATTTGAAGATATTTGAGCATCAAAACGGCCTCTTTTAATGAAATTTTTGAGGTGGGCTCTAAATTGTTTGTTTAGAGCCCTACGTATAAAATTTTTCCAAGTAAAAATAGGGATCTGAAGCAGCTATGTTAGAGGACAAGGGATGACCTCGTTAAACACTTAACTTAATTTACTCGGCCCATACGAAACGAGTGAATAATGGCTTTCAATGGGAAGGGAATTGGAACGGATTTGGGTCTAGGTTGGATCCTGTTAGGTCGGGTTAGGGTAGAGGCTAACCCATCCCAATCCGCATGTAAAAGTAATTTATTTATTTATGGGGAATAATTTCATGTCAATAGGTTATTGTGATACAAGGAAATTATACTTCTATAAAATTATATTTTTGGCATTTGTATGATCTCAAAGCTACATATACCATTTATTTATCCAAATAATAAAGGGAAAATAAGGTATATATTTGTTATATTTACGGTTATTACAAAAATAACTCAAAGTTTCCGTTATTACTTGTATATTTGTTTTCAACTTCCTAACAATTTTTTTAAAGAAGATAGAAACTACCAAACAATCCGAATATTTATAGTATAAGTGCAACTTTTTATTAAAATAAGCCGTGGGTTATTGGATCCTGTTAGGTCGGGTTAGGGTAGAGGCTAACCCGTCCCGATCCGCATGTAAAAGTAATTTATTTATTTATGGGGAATAATTTCATATCAATAGGTTATTGTGATAAAAGGAAATTATACTTCTATAAAATTATATTTTTGACATTTGTATGATCTCAAAGCTACATATGCCATCTATTTATCCAAATAAATAAGGGAAAATAAGGTATATATTTGTTATATTTACGGTTATTACAGAAATAACTCAAAGTTTTCGTTATTACTTTTATATTTGTTTTTCAACTTCCTAACAATTTTTTTTAAAGAAGATAGAAACTACCGAACAATCCGAATATTTATACGATAAGTGCAACTTTTTATTACAATAAGCCATGGGTTATTGGATCCTGTTAGGTCGGGTTAGGGTAGAGGCTAAACCGATCCGATTCGCATGTAAAAGTCATTTATTTATTTATTTATTTATGGGGAATAATTTAATGTCAATAGGTTATTGTGATACAAGGAAATTATACTTCTATAAAATTATATTTTTGACATTTGTATGATCTCAAAGCTACATATACCATCTATTTATCCAAATAATAAAGGGAAAATAAGGTATATATTTGTTATATTTACGGTTATTACATAAATAACTCAAAGTTTCCCTTATTGCTCGTATATTTGTTTTTTAACTTCCTAACAACTTTTATATAGTATAAGCGCAACTTTATTATTTATCCAAATAATAAAGGGAAAATAGGGTATATATTTGTTATATTTACGGTTATTACAGAAATAACTCAAAGTTTCCCTTATTACAGAAATAACTCAAAGTTTCCCTTATTACTGGTATATTTGTTTTTCAACTTCCTAACAAGTTTTTTATAGTATAAGTGCAACTTTTTATTAAAATAAGCCGTGGGTTGGCATGTCAGTAAGTGTACGTCCTATGTAGCTTCGGATTCGAACCTTGACGAGGCCAAACTTTATGCAGTCATACTAACCAAAACGACCCAAGTATATCTAATATAGGTTTGAGGTATTAGAATAATTAAAGTAAAAAGAATTTTTTCGGAGTCATTAAAAAAAAAAAAAACAAACAAAGACCCGACACACCAACCCACAACAAATTTTTTTTTGGGTAAGTATCAAAAATTGAATTAAGCCGGGTTGAGGATTCAAACCCCAATCATCTCGCATAAAAGAACCCCTAGGCCGCCAATTCACAACTTACTAATAAGCAAGTGTGCTTATACTATAAATACTAGGATTTTCAAAAATTGAAAATTTTTAATTTTTGAAAAACCGAAAATAGGCAGTTACATTTTTTTTTAAAAAAAAATTGTTAGGAAGTTGGAAAAACAGATATACGAGTAATAACATAAACTTTGAGCTATTTTCATAATAACAATAAATATACCGGATATATACGTTACTTTGCCATTAATAAATCCCAACATTATCCTAAATATGAAAAGAAACATAAACTTTTAAAATTTAAAATAAAATTTTTTACTATTCTTTTATGCACCGTCTATATCTTATTCAGGGACAATACACTTTAGATAACATTTTTAGGATGGCCGTTTGTAAGTCAGCCAGCACTTGCTCAAGAGTCCGTTCACTCATCAAACAATTTTCCCTCTATTTTATTCCATGTATGCCAGAGGACTAAACCTCTCATCATGGATTCATCTTCTTTTATCTGATAAAAAAATTTGATGTTCTGATTACTTTGGTATTAATTAATTTATTTGTTTTAGCTACAATAGAATATAAGGAAAAATGTTTACATAAGGTGTCAACCTTATACTGTATGAATAAGGTACACCGAGAAAACCTAATAGAGAAGGTTGTCCCTATTATGGAAAAGCCTCAAATCGATCATCTCGACCACGAGATTCATAAACATAAAAAAAAGGTGATTTCTAGTCCTAAAAATAGTTCGTCTTCTGTCACATTATCTGGACCGTCCATTTTCAAAGTTTTCAAGTGTTTATAGATTTTTTTTGTTTGTCACAATTTTTAAAACTTCAAATTTCATAATTGGGGGTAACAATAAATTTTCTTAACCAGGCTTTTGCAGCACCAAAACTGCATTTTCAGTATAATTTTGAGGTGCATCTTACCTTGGTTGACACCTTGACTCCTTGTACAAACCTCACCCATAATGTAATGGTCAATTTTGTTTTGAATATTGTTTTATAATAAATTATTCTACATTACTCTGAATCATTAATGTCGATTGGAAATGCGGGGTCCCCAGCTACTTCTTATTGGAATAGGGCGAGTCACCCAATGCTCACTTTTCACGTGAACAAGTAGTAAAAAAAATTTATTTTTCAATTTTTTTGCCTTTTTTCTACCAATAATCCATCTCTCCTATTTTGATTTGGTAACAAGTTAATCTCTCTTAGCTCTAAAAATCATTCTTTGGATCAAAAGTTATATTTGGATAAAAAATTTCCATAAAAATGTAATTATATTTGAGTCCTATAACCCCATCTTCCTTTCTTGCAATCTCTCTCCCATTTATCAGTCACCAAATTCCTTCAAATTTGTTCCAAACATATAGAAAAGCCTTAAAAAATATTTTAATCAAAACAAAAAGTTTCTAAGATGAAATTTTGGTTTTTTTTTTGTCCATGTCATTTTCTCCAGCATTTTCTTCCCAAATTGTTTATATTTTACAGCTTTGATTTTGGATATTTGATTATACTTTTTCTTTTTTATTTTTCTATAACTCTATTTCATCTATTTTTTGTTTCTTTTTTATTTAAGGATGAAGTTTCTATAACGCCTAGGCTTTATGAAAACAATTTAAAACCTCACTTAAAATCCTCATCTAGAAAGCACTTTCAGCATTGGAAGTCTCCATGACGGCTCTACTTAATTTCCAATATCGATAATGAAATTTGAAAATAAAAAAACAATACAAATCTTGAGAATCTATAAACACTTATTTTTAAGGCGAAATGGACTAATTTATTTTCACAACCATAATGTTCAAGCTGAGATGATAGGCGTGAAGATTTTTCAATGCTTGAATCGCATTTTTCGAAACTCGATGGTTTGAGTTTTTAAACATCGTTTTCTTTTTTTTTTCGGCAATTCAGCGATAAGAATCGAACTTGAGATTTAATGGCGCTAATGTCAACTGCTAAACAATAAAGCCTAAGCCCGATTCATATATTGGTGTAGATTAATTTAAAGAAGAAGTATATAACAAGAAAATATACCTTCGTAAGAGGTAATGTAACTTTGCTATGTTGATTTTAGGTGATTACAGCCTTGATCTTATAAGATACAATCCCAAATATATATATATTTTTCACTAAATTGATTGGGTTACACGTTATTTAGTTTGGGGCTATAAACTAGTACGCACACTTTTTTTTCTTTTAGGATAATTCAATGGGGGAAGACAAGTCTTTACTTGTAGAAAAGGAGTTAACTTTTTTTCCGAAGTGTTAGTGAGGTGGTGATTATTTAGGGATCTTGAGAAACTTTTAGCTTGCGGAATCAGAAATCCCAAACACCGAAATCTCACCAAAGATCGTGTATATGATTGACTAAATGCGAAGTAGATGAATACAACTATAAATCGAGAGCGATAAATAAAACAAACATAAAAAACACACCACAACAACATACGATTTACATGGTTCACCCCATAGAGCTACTACATCTACAACCAATGAAGATTACAATTTTCGGTTACAAAAAATAATACTTATTTCTAAATATCTGTAAAAGACCATCACAGATCTTCCCTTTTAAACCTGCTCTCCCGACCCAGTAACACCGTCGATCAACCTCTTTCCCACCGCAATACCGTTATCAGAAAGATAACCTCGAGAGCAACATAGATATTTTCTCTCTTTAAAAGTAGAAGTTAACCAACCCAAAACTCATGGGAATACCGCCTCTCTCTCGGATGCCATGTTTCTCTCTCTTGGAGAATCATCTCTATGTTGGAAATCCATTCCCATAACCCCCAAATGGGTGACTCTCAAAGAAAAGGTATTATGTCCTCATTTACTCTCTTATAAAAATATCACTTTCTTGCTTCCAAAAAGTCAATTTTCTATTTCTCATAATACCATAATCTTTAAAAGAAAATATGGGTATAGTGATTTAGCTCTCACCAAACCCAACCGATTAAGGTATGGAGGTGTTCCTAGCACGACCCAAATCCCTTTTCTAAAGGTTAAAGTCAGACGTAATTTAGGCGTTTATCATTTGGTGAAAATGGAATAAGAGATTTCATTGTGGACTCGACAATATTACCGCCAATTCCATTATGCACTCATCATATGTGATCTCGGTATGCACACATCATATGCGAAGAAAGGATATTCTCCATTTATGTTGCTTAAATATGAAATTAATGATGATTTGAGATGTGGACTGTTGATCCCCGTACTTGTTGCATTGTAGGAGCCCTTCCCTTGTGGGAGGATTCAGCAAAAACTACTTGTAGATGAGGTGGCATGTATTGTCCCTTTGGTCTTAGAGTTTTCATTTTTGAAAGGAAAAGTGTTTCACGAGTAAGCAGGTGTTCATGTTTTAAAGAAAAAATATTCGTTAAAGAAGGACGTTGCGTAAAACGCATGGGTCAAATCAAATACGGACGGTGTCAAAAACATCCCTAAAAAAAAGGTAGATTTTAAAGTTCAAACTTTTTATCTATTTTTTATCAACTTGGCCTAAATTATGAATCTGTAAAATTTTGGATAAAAAATCCGTCTTGTAGGTGAGGTTTAGAGGTGGCCGCATGTATACATATGAGTCATCTGGCTCATAGAAACCCATCCTTTTCTAAATCGAAAATAATCAAAGTTTGTTATTTGTGGGAGGCAAAGATGAGCTACACTCTCACTCTCCTAAAACCCAAGGAGCTTGAATTATTATATCAACCCTTGGCTTTGTTTATCTACGACCTTTAGAATTGTTTGAGAAGTCTATGAAGAACTCCCTTTTGATCAAAATTTAAAGGTCTTTTGGTTATTTTATTTCTTTCAAATTATTTTTTAGTATTTTTTTTACAAGTGGGTGATGGTGAGAAGTATGGACACCAAATTTGACTTAATCTAATGTATAAAAAATAAATTAAAATAAAATATGAGTTGAAAAATAAATTAAAAGGGACTATTTCAATTCGGATATTAAAATGAGATTTGCTCATAAATTTCAATGGTTTTCTTGTTTAGTAATAGCAAATGCCATTTGAGTCATGCCCGCACATTCGTAAATGCCTTAACGGTATATATTCTCTTTTGATCAGTTCTATGAAAGAAGGAAAAAGTAACTAACAAATTCACTTTCAAGAAGAAGAGTAACAAAGAAACTCTTATTTATTAAATTGTAAAAATTTCAAAAATTCACATTATTGCAGGCATATGCTAGCAATCAGCAGAGAAAGAAACCAAGGAACTGGCTTAACCCTCCGTTCTAGCTACAAAAAACCCAGAAATAGAAACATAAAAAGAACAAAAAGGCATAAGTTAAAATTGGGAACAGTTGAATCGGAGACATTGCTGATGGGATCTAACAGCTCAAAAGATCGGACAGTGCAAATCGGATCTAACAGCTCGGAAGATCCGAAGGAGGCGGAGGAAGCTTTTGGCTTGGGAGCTTCCCATCAAGGACCAACCAAGCCATCTTGAGGCCCCAGCTTGTATGCACCTCGAGGTGGCAATGCATGAACCACACACCTATAGCATCATCATCAACACATATTAGCAAACCTAGCTTTGAGCCCACTGAATCATAACACAGCAACCATGCAGAGTACATAACCCATGTTACAATTAAGTGTGGACATTGATGATGAACTTTCACCAGCAACTTTGGCTAGTTTCCACCGAAAACTACTGAGAAGGGATGGTGATGGTTGGACTGTGTAATATATTCTATGTCCAGGATGCTTGTGGCATTCATTACAAACTTTTCAAAATTAAGTTTGTAATTTGTGAAATTTTCTTATGCTATGAAAATCTATGCCAACTTATGAAGTTTTGGAACCATCAAACATGTTACAGTGGAAACTCACGCTTTCACATGCCTACCATTTTCTGATTAACAAGGAGGTCCTCACCATCCAATGTAAAGAATCTTAATCACAACTCCCTACATTGTATGGGGGGGATTGCCTCACCCATAGATCGAACGATATGCTGAGTATCTACCACTATAACTCAGATTGCTTCTTTCATATGATCAGTGTCTAGGACATTTTTTTCACGGTAATGCAAATTTGTCTAAATGTAGGTTTCAATTTTTTTGTCGAATAATTCCTATGATAGTTGGGAGAATGGAGCTCAAAGGACACACACCCACACACACACACATGCACACACACGCACATACAGATCCATAATATTACCAGGGTTATCAACAAGGAACCGCAATGCCACCCAACCACCACTCGGTACCCCAACGGTGTTCCTCTCCACCGGATCTACCAAGTTGAATTTGGCAGGATCCTTGGAGGGATTGTAGTTCCCGAATCCTTGCCCCACCACAAAGAAATTAAACCCATGCAAATGCAAGGGGTGGCTCTCTGCTCCTAGGATACCAGTATCTTGTAGCACTACCTCAACGCTCGTATTGAACTTTAGTACCTCTACCTTGGTACCAAAACGGACTAATGTGTTATTAGGGGGCGATCCGGTGTAGTTAAAGGGTATGGGCGGGTTATCAGGAAAATCTGTTATATAAATTCCTACAGATTGGCCAAAGAAGTAAGATTGGAGCAGTGCAGTGGTAGGGAGCACAAAGGACACATTGTTCACTGAGGCTGCAAACTTGGTCCCATTAGGCCCTTGACATGTTTGATTTTTGGGGCAGGGACTAGTCCCAAGTCCCACTGTGAAAAGGAACCGTTTGTCCACCCGTTGGGGAACGTTTGCAGGAAATTGGTTTGTGGCAAGACTACGGAGCCTCCTACTGAAATTGGTGGCAAATGCAGTGTCATTTAAGGGAGGAAGGGTGGGGAGGAGGAGGGGGAGCTTGGGGCTCGATGCAGAGGAGTTAATGAAAGAGGGAATATTGTAGTGGAGGAGTCCTACAGTGGTGGAGTTGTCAAATGTGCCTAGGCCTGTTACATAAGGACGAGCAGCCATGATGAAGGTGGTGCCAAGAGGCTGGGACTTTGCAGTGAGGAGGACATTGGTGGTTTGGCCTGGAGTGATGAGGACAACTTCAGTAGCAAAGGGCTTGACATAAATAGCATCTGTCTCCACAACTGTGAGCGAGTGGTTGGCAATTGAGAAGAAGAGCTCGTCGTTGAGTGCAGCATTGATGAGCCGGAGGAGGTATGTCTTCCCGGGCTCCACTTCCAGTCTAAATGTGTCTGTAAAAAGAAGGTTGCAATTTTTGGTCAGTGAGAAGAATATCATGAATGCATGAATGTTGTGGTGCAGTACCAAATTTTCGTAAAATTGCTATTTCTAAATTATGGTATATTATAGATACCTCCCAAAATCAACTTTCTACCCATCCTACCTGTCAAATAGTTTTTGTATTATATCCTAAATCCCAATAGCTAGAGCTTTACTATCACTTATAGCATCTAGCGGTATGCTTCTCAAAAGCCACAAAATCCCTTGATTTATGTTTTCATTACCTTTAGCTGAGCAGTTGTAAAGGGGTCCTGGATGCCCATTAATGGTGTAGGCATCAGACACATTCGGCCCACCACCCATCTGCAAGGCCTGGCTGATGACTGCCTCTGGATCCACATTCCACCATTCTCCAAAGATGATGGGAACCTCCCCATGGGGCTTAGGGAAGGGGTATGGGATGCCTAGCTTGGGCAGTATAACAATGGGACCATACAATGTGGACCTTAGCCACGATATATGTGCATGCCAAAATAATGTCCCTCTCTGACCGATAATTGTGAAGTTGTAGACATAGCTCTGGCCTGTTTGTATGGGACATTGGGTTACATATGCAGGCCCGTCCGCCCATCCGCTCTGCAACTGTCTGACCCCATGCCTGTACAAATGTGCCATCACACAACCATATTCTCAGTAAGTGTTTGATGAAATTGATCGTTTTCATGTCAAGTTTTCTATTAACAGAACCTGTTTATACGACTATTCACCTATGCATGTGATTGTTACAATGGATGATTTTACTTGAAAAATGGGTGCTAAAACTGGCCCCAGAGGATTAAATCTTGTTTTCTTTAAAATGCGTTATTTAGATGAGCAGGCAGTGTCCCATGACTCATAAAATATTTTTCTTTTTATAAATTATCCTTTGCTTGAGGATTATAGTCGCAACATAACGAGCTATGTTTTATGTGTCACATTTCTAATTTCCAAATAACCAATGTTAAATTATAAATTATGAAAGAATTGCATCTAATAGCAAAAGATGATTGCAACCTCAAACCAAAAATCAATGGCGTTATGTACTTTCACCAGACACTAGAGAATGAAGTATTATGAAAGGGAAGCGATATTGTACTCATTTGCACAAAAGATGATGAATAGGAGAGTCAATATTAAGGGGAAATAAATATTGCTATTACTATGAGGAAAAGTTATTCATGAGTCAGCTGGTGCAAGAGCCGGCTCACTAACCAATGCCCATCTCTAAGATGGATGTTGTAAAACACTAATGGGGCTAAAATGAACTTAGATTGTGAAGAAATTTTACTAAAAAAATTACATTTTAAATATTTTAAATTTTATTTTATTTTCATATTCATGATCATCCCTAAAATTTTGGATAAAAAATCCATATTTAAGATAGGTTTAAGTTGGGCTCCCATATGTATACTATAAGTTGGTTGACTCCTAGGAAACTCATCCTTAATTTAAGGACACGGTTTCTATGAGTCCATGTCAAAATGAGTCAACTCTTAAAAACTTTATTTTTGAGATGGATTTTTGGACATATTTTTAAGGACATGTAATATCGAACTTGGAGATCATGAACATAAATAAATAAATAAATTTTAAGGGATGAAAGAAATGATTTTATGAAGAAATTATTTAGATCTTTAGTTTCAATTGTTTTTAGATGGAAGGCCTATTTGCATCCATTTTAAAATGGATGCTTTATATCTTGGGACAGCATATTGTAGAAATGCGGTTCAGCCCGCATGAAACAATTTTCCTTAATATAATGATAATGTGTTTTACCACCTTCTAATCAATAAATTGGACAAGTAAGACTAATTTAAGTCATTTTTACCAGTGAATAGTAATGTTGTTGGGGACGTGATTGATGACTTTAATGAGGAGTCGGTCACCCTCTCGAGCCACGATCCTCGGGCCAGGTACCTGCCCATTCACCGTTACCACTTGCTTCGTGTGACACAACCGAGTCACATTCTCAAGCCGGATCTGCACCCACCAACACACATCTCATGAATTTAACACAGAGACAGATAGATAGAGAAGCATTAGATTAAACTTGTAATGCATGGCTCTAGAGAGGGAGAGAATACGTTGAACTTGTAATGCCTGGTTATGCCTGCATGCTTGGACTCTGAGAGCTCAGACTTCAAAAGAATTGTGGAGAGAAGCAAAGCCATGGCAAAAGCTCTAAGGCAAGAAGCCATTGCTCCTCTAACAGTGAACGTCTTGAGCTCTAGCTGTTGAGAAACCCAAGTTTTGAGGGCTTTTATAGCGCCAGAGGGGTTGGCCATATATGCTATCCTTTCTATTTTGAGTATTCTTGTGTTCTTGTTTTTGGCTGTTAGGTACTGAAATGATTTTATTAGAATTGGTAGGAGCGGGAGAAAGAAGTTGTTTAGGGTTAGTGTGGGGTGCACCTGTGTTGGTCGAGCTGAACTTTAGAGTGTCAACAAAGAAAATCCTTCTTATTTTTTATATGATTTTTCTCTTTACTTTGTGTGGAAAGATTGCACCCAAGTTTCTTCATGGAGAAAAGGCTTGTTGATCAATACCAAAATCTCCCTCTCTCTCTAAACCAGGAAATAATAACTCATTTCTCTTACTTTGGCGAGCTAGGAGCGTCTAATTTTTGAAGAGTTAGATCTAAGTTTTATAACTTAAAATTAAATATTTTTTTTCCTTTAAAAACAATTATCTAGCGATTACTATATGTTTCTCAAAATTTTAGACTAACAAAACTTCTCCTTAAGTAGTGTTTTGGGCGAGGGAGGAGAAGCGCAGTGTCCTTCTAAAGGAGCATAGTACATGCTCAGCCCTTTAATGAAAACATTTTGAAATAAACTTTTTATGAAATAAAAAAACTTATGTCTCAAAATTAAATAAAGCCCATCTAATTTTAGAAGTGCTAAATCTAAATGTCAAAAAACTTAAAATTCAATTTTTTTTAAAAAATAATTATCTAGTAATTAGAGTTTGTTTTTCAAATTTTTGGGCTAAAAATATTATCCTAATAGGTGTTTTGAGGGAAGGAATAGATGTAGAATATCCTCCCTAGCTAGCGAGGATAGAATATGCGGTTCCCTGTAGTGTAAGATTTCTTCGTCCCTAGGAGGACACCACACATTTCCTCCTCCACGTAAAACACATGCTTTTAGATCTCAAATTTTAGGGATGTAATCCTTACAACCCAAGAATAATCTCGTCAAATAAAAATTTTGAAATAAATTCTCGATGCAGTAGAAAAAACCTTATGACTCAAGATTGAACAGAGGCCGTCAAAGTATTATTTTGAAGAGAGGCCGTCAAGATTTGAAAGGCTAGATCAAAGTATCTCAAAAATTAAAATTAAAATTATTTTTTAACATAATCATCTAGTGCTTGCTATGTATTTTCCAAAATATTAAACTAAAATAATTCTCGTAAGTAGGTGTTTTGAACTAGGTAGGAGATGTGCAGTATCCTCCCTAGGGATCAAAGCATACATGCTCTATTCCTTTACGTTGTGAAATTAATTTTCGTTGGCAATGTGGGTTGGTGTAAACTCTCTTCGGAACTCAACTACAACATATATATATATATATATATATATATATATAAATAAATAAAGGGAAAAATACTATGCAACACTTATAGGTGAAAATGAACCGTGATTTTACTTATCCCCCATCACCGTCCAAAGTTCGTCATGCGGTAACAATTGTCTGGTAGTATTTCATTTTTCAGTTTTTTTCTATAAATCGGAATGATTTGAAATTTAGAACGTGTATTCATAAAAAATAAAGGAATCTACCAAAAATATCAAAAAAATATTTTTCATGAAAAACATTGATCAAAATACTCCCAAAAAGATTCAGGGGTATTTTGATCAATTTTGTTTTTTACGGATAATTATTTTTATATTTTTACTAGATGCGCCTCAGTAAGATGTACATACCCTCCAAATTTCAGGTCATTCCATTTGTAAAAAAAAATGAAAAATAAAACACTACCGGACAATTGTAACCGCGCAATGAAATTTAGACGGTGATGTGGGTAGGCGAAATCACTATTCATTTTTTCCTACCCTCATCACCGTCCAAATTTCATCGCATGGTCATGGTTGTATAGTAGTGCTTTATTTTCCATTTTTTTTCTACAAATCGGAATGACCTAAAATTTGGAGCGTGTGTACATCTTAGTGAGGGGCACCTAATAAAAATATAAAAAAATATTTCGCTAAAAAAATGATCAAAATACTTCCGAAAATTTTCGGGAGTATTTTGATCAATGCTTTTCATGAAAAATATTTTTTTGATAGATTCGCCTATTTTTGATGAACACACACTACGAATTTCAGGTCATGTTGATTTGTAGAAAACAAATGAAAATAAAACAGTACTGGACAATCGTGACCGTGTAATGAACTTTTAGACGATGATGACGATAATCGAAATCACTGGTCATTTTCTATCTCTAAGTATTTTGTAATATATATATATATATATATATATATAAGAGACTCCCGACCCACCCCCCATATCCAATCCCATTCAACATCACATATTCATTATTTCGTTACATTTCATAAAAATCCCATTGAGAAACATTGTTTTTGTTTTATATTTTTTGGTGGGTATATTGAGTAGTAGGCCAAGTTGTTGGTCTTTCATGGTAGCCTAACATTCTAGTCTACAATGTATGTACCCACCCATTCTTTTCTTCTACTTTCAGATAGGACCCATGACCTTTAACTTGCCATAAAAGGAATAATACGGAGTAAAAAAATAATGGGAATAATAGTATCCTTAAGAGATGAACTTCCCACAAAGGAAACAAATCATGCTTTGATTCATGGTGAAGTTTACTTTCTTAAGTGTTTAAGTGTGATTTTGATTCCCTAATAGGGATTGTACGCTCAACCAAATTTTGGGTATAAAGCCAAAAAAAAAATAAAAATATTGATAATGCATTTCTCATATTTCTTCTAGACATAGCCAAACAGTAAAAATGTATTTTTCAGGTTGCATCTAATACTATCCAAATAGTGACAATCCATTTGCAGGCAATGTATTATGCAGTAATGTATTACCCCAGTAATATATTTCACTGACAATATATTTCTAGGTATCCAAACGGCCCCTAAATAGAAATATCAACTCATGGAGTCTCTCTCTCAAGTCTGATTTTGATTTTAATGCCCTATATAGAAGAAAAAAATTTATATAAGGTGTCAATTTACACTATACGAGTAAAGTGTACCTAAAAAATCTACTAGTGAAGGTTAAAAATCTACTAGTGAAGGTCATTCTTATGCTGAAAAACTCTCAAATCAATCATCTCGACCTCGAGATTCATAGACATAGAAAAAGAGGATTTCTAGCCCTAAAAATAGTTTCATTATCTGAACCGTCAATGTTCAAGACTTTCAAGTGTTTATAGATATACTTGATCGTAACCATTCCTGACACTTTGAACTTCATAATTGGGAGCAACAATAGATTTCCCATATAATCACAAGGATTTACGGCACCAAAACTGCATTTTCAATATAGTTTGAGGTGGACCTTACTCAATAGTATAAGGTTGACACCTTATACAAATCTCACCCTCTATAGAAAGATCAACTTATTTTCTCTCTTTCTCTCTCTTTGAGGTCCAGCACAAATATCAACTCGTTGAGACTCAGTGTTTGTGAGTGGTTGCTGTTTGTTGACTGCTCTTTTTAGTATGAGCGTGCGTGTAAACAACCTAAAAAATTAAGTTACAAGCTTACAATAAAGTGGACAACATTGTCAACTCGGCATAATCTAAATCCCTTCTTGATTTGGTAAGTTCCCACAACTCCCTACTTGATGCGGGAAGCTCCCTACAATAATAAATTCAACACCTAAACAAAATGCTCGAGAACAATAATATATATAATAGATTTGAAAAAAACTATAAAAACGAGTAAAATGAAAAAATGCTAAACAACAACACAAACAAAAATAGAAAGTATACACCAATTTATATAGTTCACTTAAAATGGGGTATGGATGTCCCAATATGCAATAAGATGAGAGAGAGTAGATTTAGGTGGGCTCACCATGTGTGGCGTTGACCCAGACAACACTTGTTAGGACGTGTCAGTTAGTTTGAGTGGAAGAATTGAAAAGAGCAATGAGTAGGCCCAAAAGAACGTGGTTGGAAGTAGTCCGAAAAGATATAGGGACTTATGACCTCGCTGAGAGTATGAGATTAAATAGCGCAGAATGGCAGATCAAGATTCAAGTTGGCGACCCCAATTAATTGGGAAGAGGCTATGATGATAATGACCTAAAATAAGTTATATCTACAAGAAATTGGTAAGGTTGGATTCACTCTCAATGAAAAAAATTAAAATGCTTTGAAGTTTTATAGAGATACCTCACAAAGGCAAAGAAAACTCAAATTGATTTTTATTACCACAATATCACCATTAATCGACTCCTTTCTTTATCACTATTGTCCAACACAATCACTGCAAAGAAATACCAATGAAACATGGCCCAATATAAGGGCACAACCATACTAAAGTTTTTGCAAAACCTCCGATTTCTATTTCTCGAAAACTCCTCTAGACTCTCTTATGTTATTACTCTCTACAATGCACCTTTATGAGCCTCCATAAAAGGTCATTTTTATATGACAAAAATACCCTTAATAAAAAAAGAAGTACCAAATAAGTGTGATTTTGTGCATCATGACCCAATAGACAAAATGTTCACAACTCACAAAAACCATGAATGCTGAAAAGGATAGGATAAATATGATACAATAAAATTTTGCATGGTAGTTAATTGTGTTACATGAGAAGGAGTTCAATCTTATACACCAATCGTATTGTTCTCAATATGAATATACACATACTTCTCACCGACAACGTCCCCACTTCTCTAGTTTGCTTTGTGTTCTAGATACTTATTACCACAATTGCTCATGGAAGAGATTTAGTCATATATATGTTTCATTTGCATTTCTTTTGAATTTGAATTACTGGAAAAATGTATGAATCTCCCTGCCTTGAATTCTCTACATATAGATCCCCCCTGATATTTCTTTATTCACACTGTAAATCTTGCTATTATTTTATTTATATTGACCCGAGATTAATATTTTATGTCATTTTAGACAAAAATGTCCCTCTTAGTCAACTCCAAAATTTTTTTAACCCGGTTCAACCTTGGGATAAGTTCATAGAGCCGAGCTGTGCTCAGCCCTCCAAGA